GCGCAGGATAGAGCAGGGTTTAGAGCTGTTGTGCATAGGGTCGCTATGAGTCGGAAACGACTCGATGGCACATAACAACAACAACAACAACATCTCCCAAACCAAGAAGCAGCAGTGCTCACTTGGGCCCTGGATTGTTTTAAAATGTGACAAGAAGTTGAAAGGGAACTCAGGAGTAGAAAGGGGCAGGAGAAAAGGGTGCGTACTTATGGAGAATGCAGGAAGGAAGCAAGGTGCTGTGATGTGAAGGAAGAGACTACAGAGGTTATGAAACAACACAAATAGATAAATTGTTCAGTAGGAACCTGATCTGCTTTAGAAACTTTCACCCAAACCAAGTTTAAGAAAAGAGAAAAATTGGGAAGAATGTTAAGTCTTTGCTTTTCTCTAAACATCAAAACCAATCTAAATGCACTGTTTCTGAGTTAATTCTGAGACATGTCTACCTTCCATCAGTTCCCCAAGGCTGTAAATCTTCAAAGAAAGAAACTATCCCATCTTTCCCCATAGGGTAGCTGGTGGGTTCAAACTGTACACCTTTCAGTTAGCAACGCAACACAACCAACTGCATCATTAGAGTTCAAGGGGTTACTTGGCATTTAAAATATACATGTACTTCATCTTAACAATACACTGATGACTTTGTCCCCATTTTACATGTGAGAAAACTGAGGTTCAGAGAGCTTAAAGTACCAGCCTGAAGTCACATAGTCCCTGGCATTGGTTTATGTCTGACCTCCCTCATTTTCCAGCTAGGTCCTTTGTGCTATGCCTTTATTCAGTCTAATAGTTTCCGAAAGTAATTTGAGAATCCATTGGGGGAAAAATTTGAGAATATTCATAACCTAGCAATTCTATTTTTACTTTTGAGGATATAAGTCAGCCTTTGGAAAAGATTTCATGCCCAAATATACTTCTCATATTATTAATCATAGTAATGCTGGCAAATCATCAACTACTTCAGTTGACAATGATAAAAAAATGAAGTAAATTATAATAAACATTGTTTTCCAGTGTTGCTGTAACAAAAATACCACAAGGGGTTGGCTTTGACAAACAGAAATTTGTAGCCCAAAATCAGCATGCTCACTCTAGGGAAGAGCTTTCTGTCTATCTCCTGATTCTAGGAGTTTCCCAGCACAGAAACCTGGGTCCCCAAGACCTGCTCCATCTCTCAGCTCTTCTGTCTTGATGGTACTGTGATTCCTTCTGTCTGCTCAGTTTTCTACCCTTTTATGAGATGAAAGATGTTACAGGCCCTACATAAGGGAAACCACCCTTACATTGACTGAAGTTGTGATGGGGTTAATGGTGGAACACCTGGTGTTGGCTTCCACCTTTAATCCTTTGTGACTGCTTGGTTTACCAAATCATAGGTATTATTACATAATTTCCACAT